CAAACATAAATAGCATCAAGTGGAAAACTGAACGTTAACGAACGTGCCAGGAGGCGGCGAGGGGAAGCGGGGCGTGGTCGGGGTTGGGGTTGGCGAAATGGGCGGCAAGGCTGATGAGCGAGGGGCTGTTTTTGCAGAGGGTGACAGCGGCTGTGGCACATCGACGACATAAATGAGTGGCGGGCTGAGCGCACATTTAGCAGCAAACAAACAGATTCGCAAACACACTGAGAAAATGTCATCGAAAGTCAAGGGTATGTCGTGCACTCGAGCCCAAGAAAAACTTGTGTCAGAAGGGCTTAAAGAAGTTTTAATCTCCACACAGTAATTTACAGAAAAACCTATATGTTACTGCATAAACGTTGCTAGAATATTCAGTATAATTTTCCCCTCCGATTATAAGCATTTTATAATCCGAAATGGAATAAAAAGAATATCAATAACCAAAATTAATACTTATTTTAAAATCGCGGCAAATATTAAGTTACATTTTTTTGACATTAATAGCATTTAAGAGTCACAGTTAAAATCCTATATTAATTCCAATAAAATTAAAAGTAAGAAGACTTCATATATTTTTTGAGCAGGAAACTATAAGATAAACCCAAATATAGAACCCAGTCATTTTAAATATAAGCCCATAGTACATAAAGAAAATAAATTTTAATTAACAAAAGAGGTCTTGATTAATGTGTTAAAATATGATTTCTTTTCCCTGATTTTCTCGCTGTGCACTGAGCACACAGTTAGACTGACAAACACGCACTGCGAACGTGAATGTGAGTGTTCCTGCGACTGTGACTGTGACTGTGAAGGACACACAATGTGGGGAGCTGCTCCACATGTGTCTGCCTGTGTGTGTGTTTGTAATAAAAGCGATGAAAATGGCAGCACCAACAACAACAGCAATGACGGCAGAAAGGAAAACGAAATGGCAAAATAAATTGAAAGAGAAACAAATAAAAATCAACGAGAAAGGCTGCAAAAGTGGCGGAAAAAAAAGGAAGCCAAAATGCGAGCAAGACGAAGTAGCTAGCAAGCAAATATTGAGCGAAAAGGCACAGCAGCAACAATAAAAGCAGGCCAACAACACAGTTAAAAGAAAAATAATCGTCGATAAAAAGCTGGCGCCAAGATACCCGTAATATGAGCTAAGCCAAGCTAACCACTGCCCCCCAACAAGCGATGCCGATGCCGATTCCGATTCCTACAGATCCATCCTTTAAGTCACCCCAACTTGCGAGAACTTAGCCCACCAACCCCCTGAAATCATTACACCGAAAAATAAATCATCACTTTCATATTCGCAGTTCAAATATATCATAGGATTGGTCTAATTCTTTTAAAGTGTAAATAATAATATTATTCGTTTTTTTCTTCGACAAAATCAGATTGAAAAAATTAAGCTATAACTTAAAGGTTTTGTTTTACTGGAAACAGGTCCAAAAATGTTTTCTCTGTGTACTTGCCCCGAGAACCCCAACCACTCGACACTCGGACAAGTGGCTTGGCACATCACAGGCGCATTATTGGGTGACATGTGGATCCATGGCAGAGAGCTCTAGGCTCGCAGCTTTAGCCCACTTGAGTTTGTGTTTTACAAGATACAATTCCACTAATTCCAAACAAAAAGTTAGTCCTGCGTGGCACTCGAGGAGCTCAACTTCTCCGCCATCATGTTGTCTTTAACAAGGTCACTTTCACTTCAAGTTGTCTAATTTACAAATAAAAACAGTTTGTTCGAAGTCGGCAAATTAATTTCCAAGCCGAATCCCAAAACAGTTTGGCTGCATTTCGAATTCATCCGGAAAGTATGCAGTGTTTTTTTAGGATCCTTTGTTTATAGTTGGCTGAAACTATTTGAATCATTTATAAAAGGGAATTTTGATGTCGGATTGCAATTACAAGAATGAATCCACATACTTCTAAAAGATTTCTAAAGCCTTTTAAAATAATTATTTTTATTTATAAGTACTTATTAAAATAACGTGTAAGTTTTCATAATTTTGTTTGCTTTGCCTTTCTTAAATATCTACTTAATATCGCATAATTTGGCTTTCTTCACCAATTTAATTTTATTCATTTGAAGACCAATACGTAGCCGATTCCAAAGTGGCATACCTCTAAAGACTCGTGATTAGATTCTCTAAAAATCTGCATTCAAAGTTTTCAATTTAACGATGATCAAATTTTGGACCCATTTTCATGTTAGTTATTTCTTATTTTCCGATGTTTTGCAAAAGAGTGACTCAAAATCGGACTTCGAGAGTCCATAACTTTGCCAAACTTAAGCCGATTCCAAAGTGGCATAGCTCTAAAGACTCGTGATTTGATTTTCTAAAAATCTGCATTCAAAGTTTTCAATTTAACGATGGTCAAATTTTGGATAAACATTTGATTTTCTAAAAATCGCATTCAAAGTTTTCAATTTAACGATGATAAAACAAAGTTTAATTTAAGATGATCAAATTTTGGACCCATTTTCATGTTAGTTATTTCTTATTTTCCGATGTTTTGCAAAAGAGTGACTCAAAAGCGGACTTCGAGAGTCCATAACTTTGCGAAACTTAAGCCGATTCCAAAGTGGCATACCTCTAAAGACTCGTGATTAGATTCTCTAAAAATCTGCATTCAAAGTTTTCAATTTAACGATGATCAAATTTTGGACCCATTTTCATGTTAGTTATTTCTTATTTTCCGATGTTTTGTAAAAGAGTGACTCAAAATCGGAATTCGAGAGTCCATAACTTTGCCAAACTTAAGCCGATTCCAAATTGGCATACCTCTAAAGACTCGTAATTAGATTCTCTAAAAATCTGCATTCAAAATTTTCAATTTAACGTTGATCAAATTTTTAACCCATTTTCATGTAAGTTATTTCTTATTTTCCGATGTTTTGCAAAAGAGTGACTCAAAGAGAGTCGGACTTCGAGAGTCCATAACTTTGCCAAACTTAAGCCGATTCCAAAGTGGCATACCTCTAAAGACTCGTGATTAGATTCTCTAAAAATCTGCATTCAAAGTTTTCAATTTAACGATGATCAAATTTTGGACCCATTTTCATGTTAGTTATTTCTTATTTTCCGATGTCTTGCAAAGAGAGTGAAACTCACAAAAATTTTGGACATTTCGAGAGTTTTAATACCATAACTTTGCCAATCTTAAGCCGATTCCAAAGTGGCATACCTCTAAAGACTCGTGATTAGATTCTCTAAAAATCTGCATTCAAAATTTTCAATTTAACGTTGATCAAATTTTTGACCCATTTTCATCTTAGTTATTTCTTATTTTCCGATGTCTTGCAAAAGAGTGACTCCAAATTGGACTTCGAGAGTTCATAACTTTGCCAAATTTAAGCCGATACCAAAGTGGCATACCTCTAAAGACTCGTGATTTGATTCTCTAAAAATCTGCATTCAAAGTTTTCAATTTAACGATGATCAAATTTTGGACCCATTTTCATGTTAGTTATTTCTTATTTTCCAATGTTTTGCAAAAGAGTGACTCAAAATCGGACTTCGAGAGTCCATAACTTTGCCAAACTTAAGCCGATTCCAAAGTGGCATACATAAAAAGACTTGTGATAAAAATCTGCATTCAAATTTTTCAATGTAACGTTGAACAATTTGTTGATCCATTTAATTAGTTATTATCTTCACAAGGTATAATTTCTGTCGAAAGTTTTCAACTCAGTGAAGCAGTGCATATGTGCACAAAAACAAGGGATTTCTTTGATTGAATCAATCAAACTTTGCTGTGAAATGCCCATTCTTCTTTTTAGTCTGGCTTCTGAAATCAGAAGTCATTTTGTGGAGCCGGAAAGGCCTTAACAGGGAGTCTTGGTCCCTGTTAATGGTAGCTCTATTTAGCTATATTTTTTCGTCATTTCATTTTATTGACACAAACAAATTGCATAGTCAACTAGGACATCATCACATGCATGTATTAAGCCATATTTATAAGCAATTGGATGAGCTGGGTGGCGGGTTTTATGTCGAATCACCTAAAATGACTTTTCTTTCTGCTTAATACGCATTTAAAATGCGAAAAATTTAAGCCCGCAATGCGAACTATAAGCTGACGTCACGTTCCCGTTCACAGCTCCCAATGGCTTAAAATTTATGACATAAATAAAAATACGGACTCGGGATGGTCGGGAAAACCACTCTAGCCGCCCACCAAAAAAAAGCACTCCCCACCACCCAATACTCGAAATTACACGAAACGTTTTCGGTTTTTTCCTTGGCGAACTCCGCTTTCGATTGGATGGCCAGGACCAGAGCAGTCCAGTCCCTCATCCTCAGCTTTGGCCACGTCCATTGGTCACCTGGCGGTTCGGGCCAGAAATGAAAACACAAATAAATTAATATTTGGCTTAGTGAAATTGAATTTGGCTCGATGTTGGCATGTCTGACTGTTGGCTGGCGATAAAACGCTTTCGTTTTCGATTCCAGGTAATTGCTCGTAAGCGACACAGCCATAAAGGGATCGTCATTGAGAGCTACAGTGAAAATATGCAAATTTGGGACGTTTTTAATTTGCACATGTTGCAATTGAAAAGTTTGCCAGAGTAAATATAACAAAAGGTACAAAAGTGCTGAAGAATAATCCACTAAAAAAATATAAAATTTATTGGAAAAGAGTTTCAGACTCCATTGATTTACCAGTTGTGTTTTCAAATTTAAAAACGAGAACTGAAGCTAGCATCGGCATATATATGACAGATTTAACGAAAACTAAAGGTATTATCTTAAAATGAAATAAATTAAAAATTAATTCGATAAAGACGAAAAAAGCGATATTAAGCCAATATAATTTTTTATTAAATACACCCACACAAATACAAAACAATGACTATCCATGGAAAAAGGTTTATCAAAAGTTAAGTCCACTAGAAATTCAAATAATAACGGTCGGCAAAAGATAATGCAAGGTATATACCAAATATCTCTGATATCCCGCTCTTTAGGAATTTTCAGACTCTCACGCTGCGGTCACACCAACAGCTGACTGGTTTCTTTGTTGACTTCTTTTATTGCATGTCGAGACTAAATGTAAACGATCCTCGATTAAAGGACTTCTGAGAAGTACGATAATTACATTTCGAAGTACTTAACATTCCTCACTGAGATGCCAAGATGAGCAACGCTTTGCGAGCCAAGGAATTACTCATACGCGCTGTAGAATGCGACCAGAATGCACGGATTCTGGAGGCCCAAACTCTTTACACAGAGGGGATCGCTCAACTTATGCAGTTCGTAAACGGGGAACCGGATGAAACTAAGCGAAAGGGATTCCTGACCAGGATCAAGGAGTATATGGATCGAGCGGACGCCATAAAAGCGCGGGTCAATGGCAAACTCATGCTCGGCGAGGTGGTCTCGCATGTTTCCATCGATGAAAACGACACGGGCTTCGATTACGACCAGCTCTTTGGAAAATATATGGATGACAAGACCGTCGAGATTATGCTGGAAGAGCCCTATATGACGCAGAACTATCAGGTGAGAGATTCGGAAGGGACTAGCAAAATAGGAATGATAAAGAGTAATGGATCATCAAGAAATTATTGAAGTTACAAGTCTAAAAATGATCGTTAAAATGATCAAAGTGGTGAAGAAAGCGATCATAATACCAATGTTAAATGTATATGTTTTTGTTACAAAAGCTCAAATTAAACAAATAAAACAAGTATATTATTGTAAATATATGAAGTACTTGCAATAACCTCAATAAATTTGATAAGAATATAGTAGATAAGAACAGGAAATCAAATTATATGAGTGTTTAAAGCCCGATTACCAAAACCAAAGTATGACTGCATAGACACATATCAGTGCAAAGTATTGACCAAGACAAAATTGATATAAATATGTGTATTGGATAACGATTTACTAAAGTAAAAATCATATTATATCTATTGCAGTATCAAAACCTTGTGAGATTCTTGGAGCTAGCTGTTACCAACTGCCCTAACTTAAAGTATTTTCGGCTGATCACCAAAGAGTATCAGGATCAGAAGAACCCCGATCAACAAAGAACAAATCTTGGACAAATAAAGGGAGATTTGGAGCGGAGAAACATTACCGTCTCCATAAAATATGAAGACACGCTGCACGATCGCAAAATCTAGTAAGCTTGCTAAATCAGCAAAAATATAAATGTAAGGGTGGATCGTTGTGAAAAAATAAGAGAAACATCGTTGGGTATATATATAATATTTCCCACTTATGTTGTTTCGGAAATATAAAGAAAACCAATTGAAAGTATTAGTAAATATCAGAATAGGTCAACATTTTAAATAATGGAGCCTAATTTGTTCCTGTTCGTTTTCCACAAATATCGATCTACCCTGCAACATAAGTATATATACAATTTCTTATCTTCTTCGTTTGCTTGCAGCTTAAGCAATGGCTACATAATCAAAATTGGACGCGGTCTGCACTTTTACAAGGCCGCCAACCCCATGTATTCCATTGGCCTGGTCAACTACAAATTCCGAAAATGCCTCCAAACGGATGTGGATATTTGGCGCAACAGCAGCGCAGCATCCTGAAGCACAGACAATAATGTTTAGATTTAAGTGAAACAACTTCTTTTATACATTCAATTCTTTTGCCTCTTCTATAAAGATTTCTTTTAATTTTTTGTAAACGAAGAAAGGGAGTAGTCGCCCACAATTGCAGATTCTGGGCTGCTATAAATCTGCAGACGCCACGAAGACACCGAAACTAATATATGGACGTGGCCAGAGGGGCGTTTTCTCCGCTGTTCTCTGCCAGAAAATGTTTAAAATTCATAACTTTCACGCCACTTGCGGATGCGGAGGCAGCTGCACAGCTGGCGGCCCGTCCTGGCTGCTGTTTTGAATGCCGCTTGCCACTGAAGCAGCCAGCGGGTGGCCATTGCAGTTGCATAAAAGACAGAAGCGGAAGCTCCTGCTTTACCAGCTCCTGTCCGTGTCCCCAGGGCTCGCTTAAAGCCCAGTCTCCAGCTCGGTGGGAATACAGTCGAACGTCTGTAGGTCGAACTTCCTTGCACTTTTATGCGACTCGAACAGAATTAGCTGGCAAACTTACGGGATTGTTGTTCCATTACTCTATTTGTGAACTTCTTATAAAGAGCAACACAGCTAATGTTTCTTTCTGCTTTACTTTAGTAAAATGTAAAAATATTCTTAAATAATAGAAAGGTTCTTATAACAAAAAGACAGGCAACGGTCATAACATTAAATGTCTTTCCTCCAAGATTTAAAAATAACAACTAAGTTAATTATCGTACTTTGGCGGTTGCGTCTCAATAGTTTTATATTGTAACTTTAAAAGCTCGTATCATAAGTAACCAACCAAAAGAAATACATTTTTAAAAAGAAATTGCAATTTTTGCCCTTTAACTCCAAGTGAAAGTTAAAGAAGTTGGCCTGTTCAAATGCCAGTAGACATGTGCGTGGATAATTAGAACTGCGACACAGTTGGCTGCACATCGGAATCGGAGGAGAAGTCGAAGCGATGTGCCACCTTCTCGTGTGTGCGGTGGGGTATATTTTCAATTTACTTGGTGCCATGCCAGGGATTTATCAACAGATGAAGGCAATTGTTACGCAAAGGCCCGAAATGCGGCGCGATGAGCCGGCCTAATAAATTGCACCAGAGCTAAAATGCTTTGCTCGCTTTTAAATTTTATGGCCCGTAAGAAGGCCGCCAGAGAAGACACCCCACGCCCCGCAGTCCACCACCCACAAGGGACCCACACCCACTGTAACCACCCCTAATTTTGGGTTTAAGCACGTCTAGAGGTCGGAGCCTGCGGGCGAGCATGTGGAGTGGGGATTCCATTTGCCTAAGCTGGCTATTCATTCCCTGGATATTCTAAACAAGCAACAAGAGCTGCTGCTCGGGGCCCAGGATGAACTTATTGAACAATTAGATGGTTCACTTATTTTAGATAAATCTATGAACTAGATGGATCCCGGGGCCTTCGCCTCACGGAGGAGAATGTTTGCCTACAAATAAGCCACTAACTGACTGAACAACAGAGCCGGGCTAAAAAGATTCCGGATTCCCCTCGGCGAGCAACAGTTCGTTGAGTTCTGAGACTTCCCAGAGTCCACTGGTCCAGTGACTCTTTGGTCACAAGTGCACAAGCCTCAAGCGCTGCCTGCCAATTTGTGAGCAATGAATGCAGCGACGGCAGCGCAGGAAACTACAATACATAACCATGGAATTAGTTATAGTCCGGGTCCAGGACTCCATCTTCGTCCTGGTCGAGTGCGAGGACACAAAGGGCACACAAAACCCACCACTCTGCTCTGAGGGGCGAGGAAGTCGAGCAGACATTGCCTGGGGCAGACCAACAGCATAACTAATCCGAATATTTTACTCCGCCCCACCGAAAAAGAGATGCCCAAGTTGAAGCCACTTTTTGTACCCGGTGTTTTGGGTGGCGTAAAGGTATGTCGAATTTGGGGACTTGTGGGAACGGGATCTGCTGAAGAGGGTCCAGCACACAGATACTTAATTCTAATCTTCCTCATCAACGGCTTTTATAATTTTTAAAAGCCGTTTTTGACCCATTCTAATATATAATCTCCTTTATATAAACATATGTTGTAAATTAACTTCAAATGTTGTTATATAAAGTAACTAAAAATGTAGCCACTGTCCGTCAGAAGTTACGGCATGAGTCACAGGGAGTCACTAAAAGAGTTTATGTTGGAAAGTCTCTTTAAGTTCTTAGATTGATATATTCCTCAGACAGTGAAAAAATCCGTTAACTATATATTTGATAAGGTTCTAAACATTTTAGAATCTGTAAATATTGTTACATATCTGTAGGTACCTATCGCTTCTTTTCACTGTTCCTTTGGAGTCATTTCTTTGGTGTTTTTTAAAAAGAAAATGGAAACTACCCGGAATTTTAAAAGATAACCTGTCACTGGGTATATGAAAGTCTTAATACTGCAAGCAAGGATACTCACTTGGCCATTATCAGAATGAAGAAAGGAAGAGGGCAATAGATGGAGTCGCGACAGGGAAGAAGGTTGCGTTAAGCGGAATGTTTTAGGTTCAGCGCAGCACTTATGACATTACATTTTACGAGACCATGTGTGTGCGAGTGTGGGTGAGCTCCTGCCTACGTGTGTGTTCTCTATTAATTTGCCATAGCATCCCCCCAAGCCTAACAAGAACCCCAACTCCAAAGCACGATTGTCCTAGCTGGAAAGATTTGTGAGAGCGCCACGTAATTGACTTTGACTTTCACCAAGGCCCTCCGCTCGTTTGCTTAAAATTATCATTGGGTTTTTGGGATTGGGATAAGGAAAACTAGGATTTCCATTGTGTACACATATACTTATGCCGATTTCCTATTAGATGCGTAACTTTGGACCACCAAAAAAAAAGGGTGGCGTCAACATTTTTTGCTTGTTTTTATTGCTGCCAGCAACATCAACAACAAGGACAATAACAACGGCCAGGCAAACTGGCAAATGTCCCACTTGTTACCAGAACGCCCCCAACCCAAAAAAAAAAGAAGAAGAAAGTGGGTGGGGCCGAGCGACATAGGCGATAGGGAAAATCGGGCCATAACTTTTGTTTTGCTACGTACATAAAATGGCGCCAAGCAACCTATATAGGCCAGACATCAGAAACGAAGAGAACCCAAGGAGAAAGATGGCTGCACTCAGAGAAAAGCTCACTAGCTTTTTGGTAAATTAATTAGAAAGGGGTTGACTACTAACGCTTCAAATTCTTTTCTTAACTAAGTACAAAATGTAAGAAAAAATTCCTTTGTAACATTTAAATTTTATTATAGTATCTTTATTTTTTATTTTTTATTCTACCCTTACATTGTACTTCCTACATATTTATCAATTAGCTTCTTCCTGATAATATTTATAAATCAATCTAAATATATTACTGAAATAAACAAACATTATTTTTATCCAATCTATCTTCATAACATTTCAATAATCACTTATGTTTTCCCTGAGGCTTAAAGTTTTACCAAATTTATGATTTATATTCACTCATATTTAGTTTTCTGAGTGCATTGGCTAGGGGATGAGACGCAGGAGCACATAAAGTCAAGTGAAACTACTGGCAATAGCAATTGAAATCAAAAACGTGCCATCAACGGTTTTTGTTGTTGTTGCCGTTGCTGTTGATGTTGCTTGTTGGTGTTGCTGTTGCTGTTGTTGCTACTGCTATTGCTATTGCTGGCGTTGTTATTGTTGTTGAAAGCATCTCTCCTGCATCAGGAGCCGACCATTATGTAAATTGCGTGAAGGACAAGAGCGGGGAAAGTGAGATGGGTGCCCTTTTTGGGTGGCTTTCGGTGGGTGTTGCTAGTTGCTGCTGATGCTGCTGCTGCTGCTGCGGCGACTGCTGCGGTTGACCAGCAACCGCATCATTAACGCTTTGGACAGGCATTAGGAGAACGCAATGACAACTGGCTGAGGTCCCAGGCTGTGCGTCCGAAATATGAACTAAAGTGATTTTCAAATATGCCACACAGTCGTCGTCCCAGGCACTTTAGGAATGGCCATTGTTGCTGCTCCCAGCTATTGTTGCTGTCGAGCAGTTGGTGTTGCTGCTGTGCCTCGTGCCAGATTAAAAGCTGTCACAGACCAAACAAAGGCAACCGCAGCAGCAACACAAGGAGCAACAACAGCAGCAACACAAAGGACAACCAACAACATTGGCAGCAGGAGCAGCCGAGGCAGTTATTGTCCTCTCTTTGGATTTGCAATGTATGCCGATTTATAATCAATCAATGTCAGCGCAAAATTCGAAATGGGTGGTGACGCCTACTGCACTGCTAAAAAATGTCGAAAGGGAACAACGTCCTCCGGAAATCGAAAAAACCGGTGTAGAAAATTAGCACGGAAGTGAGAGGAGGATTCATTTAATGTACTTTCAATCATTAGGTACTTTGTAATTAAAGCATGTAACATTCACGAATGATAAAATTGAATTAATCAAATGGATTCTTGAATTTGTTAAAAATAACTGAGACATTAAAGTACATTCAAAATATTTTAACTTGAGTGAGAGGTTGCTTTAAATATGGTTATTTTTTGCTTCAAGGTAAATTCATATATGAACATCTTGTAAGTAATGCTACAAAAATATTTAATATTTATTTCTAAATAATTATTCACTTTAAACTTTTTTACTTAGGTGTTCATTGCTGATTCAATTGTCCCTCGTACTCTTTAATAATTGCAGAAATATCAATTGTAAATACATTTCGTAAAATATTTTCTTCTAGCAGATGGGTTAAAAATATATTTCATATCATTGTTCAATTTTTTCTCTGAGTGTTGTTCCCTGGCAGCCTCTTTTTCACTCGCTCCCCCGGGCGACTACGTGGAACGTATGCTGAAAAAAGCCTTCATTAGGCCCATAGACGTCACGACAGGACTTCGCTAGGGCCAAAGGCGCGTTATTTATAGTGCGTGTCCTATTAATGCATAATCGACGTCAATCTTGGCATATTAAAGGACTAACGCGGCCTAAGTCGCTTCATATCCTTGGGCTATCTGCCTGATCCTCCCTTCCCTTCGACCACCCCACTCTCATCTCACCCCTCGTCACGTTTTTTAGCGATTTTAAACCAAAGATAGATGGCCAGAGATATTTTTTGGCAGCCACTGGCTACTGGTTGCCTTGAAAATCCTTTTTGGTATGGTTTTCTTTGGTTAATAGACCGAAATGCGTGTCAAATTCGCCTGCGAATTGATGAACTCGAAAAGGGTCCGCTGCCAGCCTTCAATGCAAAAACGCAGATAAGAAAAATATTTATGAATTTAATACGATATAATGATATTTTGTATGTGTTATATAGCCACAAGCCAATTGTAAACATGGTACACAAAAATGTTAATATTTGTTAAAAAATTGGCTTAAATAAAATATATTTAACAATAAAATATATGTTTAAATTATTTTCTATTTAAACCTCCATGTTGGGTTTTTAATCAAAAGCTCAATTAAATTTACATCCAATATTCTTAGCTGTTTAAGGAACAACCTCTTAACTAAGTTCTTTTTTTTATAGCATACTTATTAGATTTTTTATTACACGCTCGCTTTAAGTTCTCCCTAAGCTACTGTTTCCCTTTCACCAAATCCAGGCCACATTCCTAGCCAGGAATTCACCTCGGGTCAATTATTTCACTTATTTAGCAGGCTTTAAAATTTCGCCACAAATCTACGCCTCCTCAGTGCCGGATGTTTAATGACCAGGAGACATTGTGACAGCGTTGACAACTCGCTGGAGAAATGGTAAATGGGAAAAGTAGGGGAAATTCTGAGATTCAGTGAGCATTAGAGGAAGTAAGTCGCGGGCATAAAATGCCAAGTTGTAATTT